GGTCACCTATAACATCTCCAAGTTTCTGGCCTCGATCCTCAACCCACTGGTAGGCAGCTCTGAACACCACGTCCAGAACATGTTGGATTTTGTTGAAAAGGTGAGAGATGTCATTATGGAGACAGATGAAACTATGGTCTTGTACGATGTTACATCTCTCTTCACTTGCATCCCAGTCACGGAAGAGTTGAAAGTAGTTCATAAGAGATTACAGGATGACCCCAACCTCAGCAACAGGACCACTCTCAGCATCGACCAAGTGTGTTTGCTTTTTGGAACCGTGTCTTCATTCCACCTACTTCACATACAAGGGTCAGTTCTACAGGCAGAAACATGGGTGTGCCATGGGCTCCCCAGTTTCACCCATCGTGGCCAATTTGTACATGGAAGAAGTGGAAAAGAGGGCTTTGCTATCCTACCCTGGAACACCACCAAGTCATTGGTTCAGGTATGTGGATGACACCTGGGTGAAAATCAAATCTCAGGACGTACCACAATTCATGGATCACATTAACTCGGTGGACCAACACATCAAATTCATCAGGGATGATATGAAAAGTTGCAGGTTAGCCCTCTTAGACTGTGAGATTTCCATCAGTAATGGGGGACATGTAAAAGCAGATGTGTACCGTAAACCTACGCATACGGATCAGTATTTAAGGTTTGACTCTCATCGTCCACTGGAGCATAAACTGGGTGTCATCAGGACACTAAGACATAGAGTGAACACCATCCACACTGACACAGTGGCCAGGAAAGCAGAAGAACATCACATCAAGGAGGCCCTGAGTAAATGTGGTTAAGGCACCAAAAGAAAGCTCCAGCTGATCCAGGAGAGAAAGACAACCGCTAAGTGATCCCTTATGTGTCAGGAGTATCGGAACAGCTGAGAAGCACTTTTTTCTAAACACCAGATCTCTGTGGCTTTTAAACCCCAAAGCACGCTGCACCAAAACTTGGTCAACCCCAAGAATTAGAACCCCGACACAAACAGAGCTACTTGAGGCCGCATTTGTAGGCCGATTACGTCACAGCGACGCGATGAAGGCTGTCCAAATTTGTAGACTTCTCCAAATGCAGCCGACAAATGTGTCCTCCTTTACCCCAAATTTGAAGGATGGTTCGGGTGTATCCTTCGTGGCCCACCATATCCCAGAATTCATAGCGTCGCCTAGCCAATTCCAGTTTTAAACAATGGTGGCGGCTACTAAGTTTTTAATATTACTCTTATTACTCTTTCTGGATCGCAAAATAAGCTTTTAACATATTTTCAGGCGAGAATGTAGCTGTGTAAACTTCAAATATCTTCTCGGTTTATCAAGATATCGCATATTTGCAAAAGTGCTCTGACGTTTTCAGAGACATCTGTTACCCACCAGCTCAATAGCTAGCCGGGAGCTTGAGGGTGACTAGAGCCGCCGAGAACGGCACAACTCCCGGCACATCATTTTCAGATCACCGCGGTCTTTTGCTACTCAGGTTAAACATAATATATAAGTCACTTAGACAACCTAAAAATGTTATTGTTTGGCTTTTTTCAGTGTTTTATTTGTTCGTGAGTAAATTGGTTTGGCTGAGATTGACGTAGACTGCGAAGGCCGGGTCCTCAGGAGGATGCAGCCCATGAATTTGGACACGACCGTAGTGTACGCTGTTAAGTGCCAGGAGGATTGCCAGGATTTATACATTGGGGAAACCAAACAACCTCTGGCGAAGCGGATGGCACAACACAGAAGAGCTACCTCGTCAGGCCAGGACTCCGCAGTCTATTTACACACAATTATGAGGATGTACACATCTTTCGCCATTTTACAATGCTGTGATTGCAGCCATTCCTCAACTCTCTGTGAATGGTACTCATGGCCATTGATCAGTGGTCATGAGAATTTGCATAATTATGATGAAGGTGACCTCCCAGCCCATTGTTCCTTCAGTGGTGCTAGTTTCAGTCATTATGCAAATGTACTGTTTATGAGATTGGGGAAACCTGCAGTTGTTGTTGTTGTTATTGTTGTTGTTGTTATTGGTGGTGCTCTTGTTTAATAACTACCAGCTTATAAAAAGAGCACAACAGCAGACTTGCAGATTAAGGATTTCCATTCTCCTGTTATTAGAGACATCAAGGCCTCATCCGAGTGATCATTCTCCAACATGCAATTAAAAACCTGGTTACATCTACCATGACACATAAGAGACACACAGAGCTACTGTTAATGAATATATTTTCAGACACTGAACTCTTTGGATATCAGTGGTAATGTGATAATGAGCTGCCACCAATCGGTTTAACATTGTCCGTAATTTACAATTACATAGATACATTTGGTGCAAAAAGGATTTTGATGAAGTTTTATGCTTTGCTAACTGGACCCAGTAAAATAATTTAAATATTTGGCTATGTTAGTGAGCTGTGCTCATAGGATTCCTCTCCCCCCCCCCCCTCTCTCTTTCTCTCTTTATGTCACACGCACACAAACACACATTCGGACATTTGGCTAAGCTACCAGTTTTAATGATAGATTTCTTAAATGTTTAACTTGTATTTGCATACTTTCTGAGTGGCAGCAGGACACTGAAAGAGAGCCTTCTACTGCTAACCCTTCCTTAAATGTAAGTTATGGTTTTGTGTTGGTATTTTCATGTTAAAACTATGAAACAATGAAAGGTTATATTTATAAGTAAACCAGAAGGTGAACCATGACGTCACATTTGTTTCAGTGAATATTAACTTTGTTCAATTGTTATTTTCATCAAGCTTTTATTACAACTTTAACCATGTTAATTGTTATCAATAATTGTAATAAGCAAAAAGCCTGATCATTGCTGTGAGGGTTTGTGTAACTGTGCTCCTCTTACAGAAGGTAAATGTAAAGATGCTGATTTTCTGTACTGACTGCTGATCTTCATCCAATGAAAAACACCTGTAGACTGGAAAAAACTAGTTTTCTTAAAATCACTTTAGTCGGGATGTTAATTATTCTTATATGAAAAGGAACACAAACCAGGAGCCTGCATGTTACTACTGACCTGCTCTAACCTCGAGTATCTGACTCAGTCAGGTTGTCATCCTGTTATTTCTGACTGCCCACACAGACACAGCAAGCTCTTCCCTCAAAACACTTTTTTAAAAAGTTTGGGGTTTTTTTGGGGGGTTTTTTTGGGGGGGGGGTGATAATGTGATGAGATTTACAACTGACAATATTAAATCTAAAAAGTATCTGTGAAGCTGCCAGAAACAAAGAAGTCAAATAAGCAACTTGTGCATCCAGTAAATTCCAAGGCTGTATAATTCATTACCACTAGAGGGAGACATTGTGTAAAAAACAAACAAACAAACAAAAAACAACCCTGTGATCGTTGTTGTTCTATTACTTTGTTGTTCAGATTTTAAAATCAAATAATAAAACCTCTACCTCTGTTTAACTGTAATCTGGTATATTATATAAAACTTTATTTCTTTATTAAAAGATATGCATACATTCTTAAGATTTACATTTTCAGTGCTGTCCACCCCACACACCCTTTTTTTCCAATTATCTAAGTTTTATCTAATGAGTTTTAAAATACTGAAGTGTTCTAGTATGCAGTGTGTGTAAAGAATCATTACTCATAATGTTGTTGTAACTTCTACCAGTTTGGTAAGGAAAGCTTAAGTGGTTTAGAACGCTGGATTATTATTATCATTGTTATAAGCCATGATGTATTATTATTCGGCCACCTAAACATGTTTCTGTGATTGATTGTTTCCATGTTAATCTATAATATGTCTTAGTCAAAACGTCTTTTAGTATAAATGATAAACATTTCCTTCTCTTCCTCTCAGTCTATCACACATGAATTCTCTTTTTCGTCAGGGCTAAAAGGGGAAGAAAAACTGATACCACTTCCTTTCATCCTCTCAGTGCATGAAAAGGTAACTTCAATACGACCTCACGTAAAGATTTTCACACATTCTCCTGTGAGGCTGATCACTAACAGGACACACCGCAGTCTGTTCAGAGCGGCACACACATATTTGTTTTTGAGGAAAAGGGTTTGAAAGCTGCTGACGATCAACAGAAGCTCAGCAGCTGACATGGAAGCTGTAGTTGGACTGCTACTGATGTGGCTCGGATACTCTCATGGTGAGCTTTTCATGTTGTAATTCATCATACTTCGTTTCTGTGCATAAATAGCATGTTTTGCAATTACAGGATCCAAGACTGTCAATGACAGACATTTTAAAAAAGAAATTATTAAATAAATTCATTTCTTGACATGTCGAACATAATAACAGTGCTATTTTCTGAAGTCTTTAACTTTACAATAATGCTACATTCTAATATCATTTCAACATTTTAACATGAATGTGCACTCTAACAAATTTTTAGGGTTATTTTACTGCAGTAAAATGTATTATACAGACAGTATGCTAACAAAAACTAAAAAATGAAAACATTCTAGCTTTAACATCAATCATTTTCATAAACAACACAATATCATAATTATAGGGTGAGTTAAATATATTTTTAAAATGCTAAAATTGAAAAATTCACTAAAGGATTTTTTTTAGAAAAACACTGGGCGACTTGCAAAATTCAAAACTCAGACATACATCTGTACTTCTACTGATATAACTGATTTAAGATGATTTGTTCAATGTTCTTCTAAAACATTTAAACTTAAATGTCAGATGGAGCTGTTAGCTGAATCATTACTGTTTTTTTAGTTTTTGCTTTTGTTTACTTATACATTTTCCATGCAGGTGTGGAAACTCACTGTGATGGCAGACAGGATGGAGCTCAGTGTTATGGAGCTTTGGGAGGAACTGTGGACATCCAGCTCATGGACAGCACCTCAGAAATATCTAGATACAGCCTGTTCAAGAATTCATTAAAAATACTAGATGTGTTAAATAATAAGGTTACTTCTAATACCATGGCACATAGATCTAGCTTTTTCCCCAGTAATAGAACTTTTAGGATCAATAACCTGAATAGGACAGACAGTGGTGATTATAGCCTTAAAACCTTTGATTCAGATGGAAAATCATCACGCGAGCGGACTTTACAGTTGTTTATTCAAGGTATTTTTTTTTTCTCTGTTCGGAACAAATTATAGATATAAATTTTATATTGTTTTGATAACCTTAGTGACATAGCACAAAATACACAAGCTACATGTATTTTATGCTTTCCCTGTTCTTCATTAGACAGTATCAACAATGACAAAGATTTAAATTTGAAATCTAAGTCATCTGTGTGTGTTTCTCTCAGCTCCTGTGTCCTCTGTCCTGCTGGTCTCTGAGTGTCTGTCCCAGAGAGAGATGAGGGTGTCCTGCTCCTCTAAGGGAGGGGACAGTCCTCAGTACAGCTGGACTCTGGATGGACGCACACTGACAGATGCTGAGCTCTTTTCTGAAAATAATGAGACTAACAACATCACTCTGAAACAGTACATCTCAGGACGTCTGGTCTGCTCAGTCAGGAACAGTGTCAGTAATGTCTCCAAAGAACAGAAGACCTGTCGTGAGTAACAACATTATGAATGAAAGTCAATAATAACAACTATTTCACTTCGAACATCTTTCTCGAATTATTTGTTTTTTTTTCTGCCAGGCTTCATTAACTGCACGTCAATCAATGGGACACAGATATTAGGGTGGGTGCATGTGGACAGTAACGGCCTGTGTATTGAACCAACAACAGAACCTACCCCAGTCACACCAACTTCTGTGGGTAAGGAGACTGGCACAGTGTCAATTACACAATTCAACAATGAAACTGTGACTTCCAACAGTGATGACCAATGGTACATTAGTAAGTGAAAACTAACTAGATCCACTGATGTCACTTTCTCTTTCTTTATGTTCCTTTACAAAAAACATACCTTTGATAACTGAAACATCTGTTTTTATGTATTTTACTTTTGAAACAGCCAATCTGCCACTGATCGGTGGTGTTCTCTCAGCACTGGTATTTTTCTTACTTGTGGGTGTGGCAGTCATCTGTGCTCAGAGGAAAAAACAAAACAACAAACCTACAAAACCAAAAGGTACAAAAATTCTTCTGTCACATATAAAATCTGTGGGTATTGTTAACTAATAAGTTTCAACACAAAAGCCGAGAAGACCGCTGTGTACAAAGGTAACAAAGTCTGTCTTAAAGCATTGCCAAAGAACTCATTTTAAAACCCATTTTTGTATCTGACTCATTTTCTCCAGTCTATGAGCTGAAGCTAACCAGGTCTTTCTGCAGCAGATATCACTGTGAAAATATTTTTTGAAACTCTTATAAAGAAAGCAAAAAGACTTCACAAAAATTAAAACCTTTAAAAGGTAACCATCTGTAATACTCTGCTTGTAACAATCTTCTTGCTACTCTGCAGAGGATGAATGTGACCAAGATGTAACCTATGCTGATGTCAGGATCATGAAGCAACAGGGGAAGCCAGCGGTGCAAACAACAGAGGCGGAGGTGGACGTGGAGTATGGCCAAGTCAAGTTTTCGAGGCGATCTCAGCACACTGAACCAACAGGAGATGATTGTATGTATGCAAAGGTCCAAAGATTCCGGTGATTTGGGTTATTGGTGTGTTCACACAGACTGAAGGTCCATGGAGAGAGGAGATGATGTCAAGATGCCAAAAGGTCTTTTATTTAATTCAATTTCCCATCAGAAAAATAAAAAAACCTTCAGATTTCATACGTATTGATTTTCTTTGCTTTCACTGTGATTCTGTTATATAAAAGAGCATCAGCACACTCAGACTTAGGTGACATCTGGGTTATCATTTCATATGACGCTACACAAGCTGCGGTAGTTTTGTAGCTATTTAACATTTCTAAACATAATTATTCATATTTTTCTATTAGCTTTTATATTTATAGGATGTTGTAATAGTTTTAATCGTAGTTATAATTTATGGATATGTTTTATCTTATTTATTGTCTAAACACTGATAAACTGCATTATTACTATAGTTTTAACAATACATGATGCACTCATTTATCCTAAAACGGCCAATTTCAATCTAATGCCACAAAAAAAATTCCATTTAATTAAAGTGTGATTATTAAACACATGTGGTTAATGACTTGTGGTTTACACAAACCTAATTACTAACAGTTCAGTGTAGTTTGTAGGTGGAGGTTGTCTTCCTTTGGCTCTTCAGTCCAAAGATAAATTTACAGCGAAGTGTTTCAGGAAGTTCACAGTAAGCAGACGAGAGAGGGGATTTGTTTCCATGATGCAAATACTTCTGCTTTTTTCTCAGACGTTGGTTTTCATTCTTTCTTCTTTTGTTTTCTGCTCAAACCGTTTGGATAAGATCAAAGTTCAATAACCACTTAGTGCAATAATACAGTGGAGTGGGCTGTGTAGGTTTAATCATGACACTGGTTGTAAAAAAAAAAAAGAATATGTTTTGTTTCAGTGTATCAAGACCAGCAATCTTATAAATACTGTCTCCTAATTGCCTTCAAATGTAAAATTGATTCAGAAATTCAATTTTAAAATGTAAATACTCCTCTACTTTTCATTTTTAAAGAGTACTTTAAATGTTTGTGTTGATGATTTGTGACTACACTAAAAGGAGTTCAGTGAACTAGCTGTAGTTTGAGGAAGAAAGCTGTTTTACTGCATGTGAGATTCTGAGCTGTGGTCACCTGTTTATCATGTAACAGCATCAACTTATGTTTTCTATATTTAGTTCAATTACACTTCCTACGTATTTGCAGTTCGAGTTTAAGTTGTACCTGTCAAAAAAACAGAGATTATATCATCAGTCTCTTCAAACAGTGCATGGTTTTTAATCAAATATAAGGTTCTAACTTAGAGGTTTGAAGAACTGCCGTTATCCATTCAAATGATTTTAAATTAATAAAAGGTCAGCTGAACAAAAATCAGCTGAAGCACATGTTTTAGTGTTAATCAGGAGGTGGAGTGAGGGTCATGGATGGAAAATTATTTTGGCCTGTGTTAAAACTAAAACTAAGTAATTATGTTTAAATGAATAGCTGTTAAAAGGAGAATCACAGTTGAAAACAGGATAATGCACATGTTTAGACCAAGTCATTAATCAGAGATTACAGAGATTCAAGATTCAAACGTTTCATTGCTGTTTGAGTCTCAGACAGATGCACGTGCAGAGCACTGCACGGTGAACCTTTTCTTACAGATGCAGAGTAATTCTAAATAGGGTCATTCACAGTACCGGCATCCTTGGTGTGGGTGTGAACACGGTCAGGCCGACTATCGCGTCTCTTTGAAGCACAGGAAGGCCGATAACACATTTGTATAAACCATATTTAAATTGAACTGGCGCCGAATGAGTTTGGTCCCGTTCGGTTTACTGTAATGTTTGCCCATTTCAGTTCCTCTTTTCTGCATTTAGACTGTTATATAAAAAGAAGAAAATACCTTTCATGGTTGAGTGTTTGCTCCAAAATACTGGTAATATTTTTGTCACCTGACAAATGCAGAAGTTGCAACTGTTGGCACAAAACAGATGAAATACATTTGGTTAGATATGGGGTTAAAGGTTGATAACCATGCACTGACTTTATGCTGATTCATACTGCCATAAAATTGGTGTTTATGGTCCATTACAGTTGTAGTTTCCTCAGAGTTTATTTTTTGATCATGTGATCAGTCAGCAAATGCTGCTTTGTACATCAGAGCGCGCCAGTATGAGCAACGTTGTTTTTACCTTTTAATGCGTGTGTGACATAGGAAATGCAAACGAGTGAACTGTTGCACATTCACTATTGAGAAGCTGAAGCACATACACACCAGGGGATTTTATAATTGTCGTGACATGATCATGTGATGCTGCCTCGCAATGCCAAAGCTGTTAAACTATAAAACCAGACTGGCGCCAGTTCTCTGGTCTTTAGCACTTCAGTTTTTAAACTGATAAAAGCCTTGAACTATAAATACTTTTCAAACAGAATATCATTTATATTTTTAATGCAAGAGAATGAAAACATTTTTACATGTTTTTTTCTTTAGTATTGTACAGTACAGATTTTGTAGTTTAAAATTGGTACTTGTGTCTTACATACAAAGTGTGTATGTAAGACTTTGTTTTTCCACAGACAGTTATAGACACATGCACACAGACACTCAGCCATACATACAAACCGCATTCACGCATGCATGCACAAACAGCACAAAACAAACACACACACTTATGCCTTAAAGTGGTAACTGCCTAATAAATAATGCAAATTACAAAACCGAAAACCAAAATAGTCCTGTGTCTTTCCTCTCTTTCTGTAACCTTTAATACACCTTGTACAAATTGAAAATTGTTTTCCTTTTTTCACACAATAAAAAAAGAAGAAAAAAGATTGTTAAGGAATGTAAATGTGTTTATTTATTGTTATTTTTTTTGTAATTTAAGGATATACAATTGAGGTCATCTTAGGCTTTATTGTGATGAATTTCATGTCAAGGTCAAGGTCATGTTTATTTATATAGCACCTTTAAAACAACCGGGGTTGACCAAAGTGCTTCACAGGCAGCCAATAATAAAACATAACAAAAAGGAAATGTCAAGGTTTAGATCGAATTAAAGGCCAGAGAGTAGAAATGAGGCTGGAGCAAAGACTCAAATCTAGAAACAGATTCTGCAGTTCTAGTGTAAAATCGTAAGTCACCTTTATTTTTAAGTCTAGTTTATGGAAGTCACATCTGATTGGAAGACCTCTGACAGGAGTGTGAACATATAAAAAGATCCAACAAATAAAGCGTTGTAGGCTCATTTAGAGTCTTAAAAGTGATGACGGGAAGCCAATGTATTAGTTTTGCGCATTTATAGATAGAACTTCATACTAATGTTATATTTCTTCATCAAGAAGCCTTTTCCTGTAGAAACTGTGTTGTATGAAAAGCAAATTGACCCACATGAATGTGGCTAGAGCAAATTAACAGAAAATACAACTCTAAATCAATAAAACCTCAGTGCTGAGGAGAGGGTTTAAGCTGCAAAGCCAACATAAACTCCACTTGAAACACACAAAAGCATGCACAAACACACTGAAATTCGGAAGAGCTAAATTAGAAAACAGTGACTTTCTTACACTCTAAACATTTGTGATTACACAACTGCACACACTGCACTGTTGATAAGTCAGTCATTTATTTAGAAATGGAAAAACCTTTAATCGTTAGATGACTCATACCTACTAAATTTCCACATCTTTTGTTTCTCCTTCCTTTTCTTTAACATTACAGTGAAGAAGTATCAAAATGTGTCAGCATTTCTTGTTTGTACAGCACATCCTTTAACATTTCATATATACAGACATTGGGTTCTAAAAAAAATAGAGAAGTGTAGACATTTTTTAAAATAAAACGAATATATCCAGTTCCATGCCAGAGCTGAATGTCTGTGCCACAGCGACTGTAAATCACGAGTCATGCAGTTGAGCAATCTTCAGCAGTTTTTCAGGATGTGGCTAAACTCTCCCGTCTGAATGTCTAAAACCAGTGACACTTTTAATAATGCTGCCCTTGCTTTGCTGCAGCTAAAGTGTAGAGTAAATGCATGTTTTCAGAAAAACAAAAAGAACAATTTAACCACCTTTCGAATTTGATATCTGCTTTCCCCATCTGATTTCCTGTAACTTCAAGTTGTCATAAAAAAGGCGTGTTAGTGTCACGGTACTGCCTTGGAAACAAGAAGAAGGGCTGTCAGTTTTTTTTCTTTTTTATATCTGCATTTGCATTATATTCCTGTTAATGGATACATATACAAGGAAAAGACAACAAGAAAGACACTAATCCTCTTTCTTGGGCACGCACTGTTAAAACGCTATCTTGACGTTGATAATGATTAACACAAGCAAGTGGAATAAATGCCCACTCGACTCGATCCATGTGACAAACGTGTGGTGGTGACATTGTAAAATAGAGGTGATCTTCATGTGAATCTTTTTCATTCGTTCTGTGGTGAACTTGTGCAACTATTAAAAACATTTTTTACACACACAGATACAGTGCCAGTCTTTCACATAGACTTCACCTAGTACTCCTCCGATACCGCGTCTGACAAAATGTTCCTGCTGGGGCTCGCGGGGTTGTGGGTGTCACTGTGTGCACACAGTACAGGTGGGGTGGGTGTGGTTGTTGAGGCCTGCTGGGAATGCTGCAACTTCTTCCTGTTGATCTTCCTCTCCTTGGCACGTCTGTTCTGAAACCAGATCTTCACCTGAGACACACATGCATGAGATATCAGCATCAAGAACGTTTCTCAGTTAGGGAGCATTATGGCTTGTTCCCTAAACAACATCAAAAGAAACAGCACATCATTATCGTTTTCATTTCTTCTATAAATCGCTTATTTGCTGCATTAAAAGGAAGTTGAAAACTGCAGCGACTTTGCTTTCTGTGGTAACGTTCCCTTGCCTTGCTTCATCTACTTGAAATTTAGTAATCTCTGACTTTCCCAGAATTACTCTGGGAGCTACAACAATTGCACTCAGCTGTGGTTTTAAGAAGCTGCAAGGGCAGGCAGAAGAAACAACAAGAACAGCATAATGACAGTAAGATTGAGGGTTTCACCATTAACACTACTTATGCGTTTGGCCACATATGTTAACATTATGGTTTGCAGAATTTGTTTTTTTCTCTGGAGCTCGTTTCTCCAGAGGGGATTGTTTGAGAACATTGTGCTCACATGTGCTGCATTAGTAGAAACCCTACACTTAACCATGGGAATAAGTAAAATACAGCACAGTGGTAATAGATGGCCTGCAGATGCAGGGTTTTTTTTCTAATGCACAATAACATCAACAAAATAAATCCAAGCTCCACCTTCCCTGTTATCTCACTTCACATAAGAAAAAAAAAGAAACCCACAAATGAGATAATAACCCTGTAACACAAAGTTAATGCCATATTTGAGATCTGTGCATCATCAGTGGTACACTGTTTACAATCAGATATCTGCAGTATATGCAGATTTATGCGGTGAGCATGAAATTCCACAAAAATGCCAAGATCATTTTTGTTATACCCCATGTGTGTTTATACACATGGGGTATAATAAGTATTGAACACATCACCAGTTTTCA